GGGGGCAATGATACTGTGTGTGGCAGTCACACAGTGGCCACCTCCATCTTTTCAGTACCACACCATTTGGCCCACCCCACTGGCCCTGACCCTTGTCCCTGGTGCCGCCCCCATTCCCATCTCATTTGCTGCCTGCACACTGGAGCCACGGGAGCTGGGGAAGGATGGGTTCATGGCAACCTGAGTCCACAGGGCTAGGACCAATGGGCCGAAACCAGGGGTGTGGCCAGGAGCCTGAGGGAAGGTGTTTGACTTTGTGGAGGTCAGGGCCCTGGGACTCCTGAGGGGCAGGCGAATGGAGGTCTGGGACAGCGGGAGGAGGCCCGAGGGAGCAGGAACACCACGGAGGGCAGCGCTCCCCACACAAGGGAGAACAGCTTGAAAACCCCTCAGTCTGGGGCCTGGCCTCCGAGGTCCAAGCCTGTGGGGCAGCTCAGGCCTCTGAGGGAGGACACTTTGCCAAGAGGAGTTTTCTCCTGTCCCTGCTTAGCAACTGCCGTCCACAGGGTAGGTGACAAAGGCGGTGGGGGATGGATTTCAGTCTGGCCAGAAAGACGCTGCATCCACTCGGACAGGCAGCCCAGCCAGGCACAGGGCGGGCTTCCCAGAGGAGGCTGGTCCTGGAGGCTGGGCGGCAGGGAGGGAGAAGGGGACTCTAGCAGTGGATGGCGAGATGCCTGGGAACAGCTGAGAGATAAATTCAGTGTTCAGTGCGAGGCTCCGGGAGACCAAGGGAGGGCAACAAGACTTGCTTCCTTGGAAGACCTTCTCTAAGGAGGTCTGTCCCTTCCTCCTCCAGGCTGCTTGTCACTCCCACCATCTAGGAAGCTTCCTGAGGATGACACCTGTTGTGGGACCCCCTTTCTGAGCCCTCCCCACCAGCATCTTAGGCGGCAGACAGGACCCTCATTAGAAAACTTGCTTTCAGAGGACTTCCTTCTTCTAGCCTGTCCCTGGACCCCAGCCCAGGCATGTGCCACCTCCCCCTTCACCCAGGGAAGATCATGCTATCAAGGGAAGAAAGGACTAGAGAGAAGCCTTCAGGCCAGGCAGTGGGTTCAGCTGAGCCTGGCCTGGAAAAGTCTTGCCTCCTGCTGTTTCCCCAGCTGGGTGAAGGAAGGGAGTGAAGCTTCTAAGTTCTCTCAGAGGGAATTTCCTGCTCCTCCCTTTTCCTCTTTTCTCCCCTTTTCAGGGTCCCCTACTCTGTCTGGTAGGAGGTGAAAGATGACAAATGGACTTCAGATTTAAAAACCCTCCTTGGGAGGGAGGGAGACTGAGGAACCTTAATAATTTATCACACGGGGAAGCTCCAAAAGCCCTGTCCCCCTGAACTCTTAGAGGCCGAGGGGAGGGCGAGGGCTCCAGGAGCTTCCTGAGACGGCTGTGTGCTCGGGGCTGTGGTGACACATTCAGTCCCGGGCACAGAGAACATACACTTAGGAAGTCAGGAGATGGACACACCCCCTCCCCAAGATTGGGGTCACATACCCAATAGGAAGGCACAATGGCAGGGAAGGTTTGGCAGTGGTTGAGTGTCAGGGGTCAACAAAGGACAGCATGATATAGCGAGTGCCCCGTGTCGTGGGCAGCCCCTCGTGGTAGTGGGTGAGGCGGCCAGGGTGCAGGAGGCCCCAGCCCTTCCTCGGGGAGGAGACCACGCAGTCATAGCGCAGGAAGCGGCAGCCACCTCCCTGGGAAGAGAAGGGGACAAACGGGGTAGGCAGAGGAGGGCTCTGGGGAGGGCACAGGTAGGAGGGGGAGGGGCAGCCAGGCAAGGGGGGAGAGCAGCTGTGGGCCAGGATATTCCCAGAGGAGGGAAACCCAGAGGAAGGGATTCAGGAGGTGACACCCCCCAAATACCTGGGAAATAAAAAAGGCTGGGCCACAGGTTGGGAGGCAGCTGAGGGGAGTGTTCAGGGGCTCTGGGGGGACATTGGAATTCAAGGAGAAGGGTGTTTGCGGAGGGGCAGGTGCACCCCATAGTCCATGCCCTTGTGGTTGAGGGCAACATTGAGGGTGAAGGTGGACGAGTCGTGGTGTGGCCACAGAGTGGGTTGCTTGTCCAGCCGATAGCGGACCACAAAGTTCATCACTGCCCGAGTCTGGGGGACACGAGAGAAGAGGCTACAGGGAAGGCCGAGAGGTCCAGGGGATCTTCTTGGGAGCTGACAGCCCTATCTGGGGAAGAAGGCCTTGGAAGGGCCTCACTGCTAATGGGATCTCAGCCTGGCTGCTCCCCTCCCCAGGCCCCTGTGCAGTGTCATGCCTGGGGACCGGATGCCATGGAGATACAGGGGCCCCAGACCCTACTGGGCTGAAAGAGCTCTGTGGGGGATTCCAGCCCAGGACTGGGTGTGGCGGGTGGTGGGGGCAGGGGTGGCAGGTGGGCGGCCCACCTTGGTGTGGTAGCCCGGGAACAGGCTCTCGGTCATGGGCCCCACGTACGTCCGCAGCAGCTGCAGCCACTGGTCCTCGTAGCCCACTTGCTTCATGTGGATGTCCACGGTGGGCACGTTCTCATAGCCTCCAGCCAGCCTGGAATCCTGTGTCCAGTGGGCACTGAGCCACCCCACACTCTCGGAGTGTGACCTCCCTAGTAGCACTGCCGGATTCCTCCCCCTTCTCACTCTGAGGCTTGAAAACCTGTGCTCCCTCCATCTGCAGTAGTCTTCTCTGCTCCTTCTCAGCTTCACTAACTGCTACTGGCCCTTCAAGTCTCAGCTAAGATGTCACCTTGCCTGTGAAGGCCCCTGGTCATGGTAAGTCTGGGCCAAGGCTACCCTGCGGCTCCCACAGCACCTGGGCTGCCCATCACAGCCTTAGACACTGCGTCACCCCTGCTACCTGGAAGGGCAGAGCCTGGCTGGCACAAGTCCTCAATGCACGGCTCCATCTAGGACAGTGGCCAAGTAAATATTTCTTCAATGAATGACTGCAGCTATATTACCAGGGTCGCTCCCACTATAGGTACCTTCTCTGCTCCCACTCTCCTGACTCCCTTCCTCCTGGACCAGACCATGCATCCCCATCCTCTTCAGGGCCCCCCACTCTCCCTGTGCCCAGCCCCCACATTGAGCTGGCCTCCTGACCACTGGCCATAGTGCTCCATTTCCTCCACCAGCTCGTCGCACATCTGGTCTGACAGCAGCGGGAACCAGTACACGTCTGGGCATGGCTGAGGACGGGGCAGTGGAAGAACAGGGCTGAGGTGATGCTGCTGAACAGGGGAAGGGGACAGGAGGCACAGGGATACGAGACAGAGCTAGCAGGAGTGGGGAAGGTGGGATGAATGCAGCTGGGGACGGGCTACACTTCACAGGTGGCAAGCACAGGTGGCAATAGGGACCCAGAAGCCTGGGTGCAGGGACTGTGGTTTCCAAACTTCTTTACATGAACACATCCCTCCTTAAGATGTGATTGCAGCCACAAGGGCAAGAGGAGTCCCACTTATCAATGCTAGGAGTCAGGCTGGAGCCCTACCTGCTCAGCTCCGCCTGACCAGGGAGCTAAGGGTGAAAATTGCTAATCCAGGTGATTGGTGGGGTGTGGGGACAGAGGCCCTGGCTATGGGGCAGGCCGGGACCTGATCTGGCTCACCTGCTCCACAATCTCCTGCCCTTCCAGGGCCTGGCGGTAGTTCTCATGGATGTACTGTTCCTTCCAGTCCTGCAGGGGGCGGAGCATGTCAGACATGTGTCCCTTCACTCCCAGCCCAGGCAGTGTTGGGTGGAGGGTGAGGGACATGCTGGCTTTCAGTGGAGGCTTGACTCACAAGGGGGTTGTCGAAGATCTGCCAGAGGTCAGGGTGCAGGTGGTCTGTGTCCTACCAGGAGGTGGCCAGGAGCTGGCCGAATTCCTGCGGATTGCTGAGGTGGAGGAAGATGCCCTCCACCTGCATGGGTGGGAGGGTGGGGGTGATGCAGGGATGCCAAGGGGCTGCCCCGTGCCTCCCAGCACCCGGCCCCCAGGCACTGTACCCAGGCCTGACCGCCACTCACTTTGTCCCGCAGGCTCTTACAGGAGGCCATGTCCGGGTCAGTGTCGCTGCCTGAGAACAGCTCCCTCTGGGGCAGCTCCTCCCGCAGGGTCTCCCCTCGGATCAGGTATGCCTGGGATATGTAGGGCACGTTCCACACACTCCTGGAGGCACCAACGCCAGGGTCAGTGAGGTGGGCTGCCCCCAGTTTCTGCCCCGTTCCTCCCAGGAAGTCCTTCCCTCCAGATATCACAGTCCCTGAGCCTCAAGGTCCCCTCACATCCCGTCAGGCATGACTGGTCACGACCACCCCAAGCCGTGTGACATCTGAGCGGTGAGTGGGGGTGAGGGGGTAGGGGCTGTGTTGTGAGCAAGGGGGTTCGGACTGCGTAGGTCCCAGCTCGGTAGGGGTGGGTGAGGGGTGGCTGCCGGCCAGGCAGTACTCACACTCAATTCTGCTGCACCAGCTCCACGTAGTCCTCGAAGCACGTGTAGTCCTCATCCCGGCTCAGCGCTGCCCAGAAGTTGGACTAGAGCTTGCCATGGCGGGACAGCATGGGCGCTCTCACCTTCCTTCGGACAGGTGGGCGTGATGCTGGGCAGAGGGGAGCACGCCTCAGGGACCCCCATGCCCAGGAAGAAGTGGGGTCCCGGGGACTATGGGGGCGCCCTGGCTGAGGGGGGCAAGCAACCTGTTCTCCTCAATGAGGCTGTGCAGGGTCTGCATGTTGGTGAGGACAACGTCAACGTGCAGGCTGAAGTAGAACTCACACTCGGGGTCTTGCCAACAGGGGACAGGTGGGGACAGAGCAGCAAGGGGAGGGGGAGCCTTTCACAGTTCCTCTGCTGTGGGGACTGGGGAGGGCCAACTTCTCAGAAGGGTTGCAGGTGTCTCGTGGTTGGGGAGGGGAGGGGAGGGAGCCACTGGGAGCACCTTAATGGGACCGTTTCCATGGAACACAACAGGGAGGGTGTCATAGGCCACATTCGGGATTCACGCACGATTCTGATCAAATTTTAAAACTACTTCATCTGGGGAAGGAAGGCTAGGCTTTAGACTGCCTTTCTCTAGGAGCTGCCAAGCAACAGGTTCTTCCAAATACAGGGGTCTCGAGTTCTCCAGGGGATAAAAGGACGCCTGTGTCATCAGGACTGGGGCTCTGTGGTGGCAGGAGCCCTCAGCTTCTGACCAGGCTGCTACCCTGGAGAGCTCCACCACCTGCTCCTAACTCCTCTATGTGGTAACAGAGGCAAAGACTGGAGTGAGGCGTTAGCCAGGCTCGGCCCCAGGGACAGGCTGACTACCACCCTGAGGGATTTACTTCCAAGTTGGAATCCTGATGACAGCAGCTGCCAGGCAGCGGCTGGGTGATGAACACTTGGTCCCTGCTGCCCCCCTCAGAAGGCCTGCCTGAGAATCCAGTGTGGCATCTCTGCCCCCATCTCAGCCCCGGTGTTGACACTGTGGCCTGAGGCCAGGGGAGACTGGTGGAAGGTGTGTGACGTAGACCTGCCACCTGACTCTTTATTCTTCTCCACCTGGGCCCCAGCCCTGTAGACCAGGTCCCACCCAACATGGCTGCCTGATAAGGAAGGACTAGGAAACAGATGACCAAGGGAAATGAGGACCAGAGGACTGTCACCCTTGGCTGGGCTGGGGTGCGAGCATGGACACAGAGCCTCCTCCCAACCTGGGCTGGATACCTGGAGAGGATGGCATTCTCAGAAGAAGGCTGACAGTGTAGGGACAGGCCACAGACAACCCTGTCACAGTACACAGGAGAATTCCAAGCTGGCATGACCAACGGGGAAGTAGAGCTCATCCTCGGAAGTGGATCCTCGTGGGCAGTGGGCTGAGGGAGCCACACCTGTGATCTCTGGGGGTGTCATTCCCAATGCCCTCTGCCCAGGACAGTCTTTCCAACCCTCAGCAGTCACAGAGCCCGTTTTCCTGGCCACATCACATTCCCGCTTCCCACACTGGGACACCAAGTCTCCACAGGGGATGGAGGCTGATCTTCACCTGTCTGCTGCCTGCCCTGGCCTCTCCCCACAGCCCAGTGGTCTTTCTACCTCAAGGATGACTCCTCCTTCCCTTTCTTCCTCTCTCAACTCTGACCATACCTGGCCCTTTCCTCATAAACTTACCTACCTGGCTTCACAGGGACTAGAGCTGTTTTGACCTATTTTGAGCATTTCTCCGCTTCCTGGGCCAAGCTCGGTTCCTCCAGGGAATAACCTGGCTTCTAGTGCCCTCTCCCACCTCAAGGATCAGACTCTGGAAATGGAGGAAAGAGGGTGTGGGGAAAGGCTTTCAGAGTGCTGCCAGCCCCACCCCCAAAGGGCCACACTTCCCAAAACAGGATCATTGACAACAGCTTGGTCCATCCCCAGTGTTTGGGGAAGGTGCCCACCAGAGAAATCTAGCAGTCAATTGTGGCTGTCTGGATGTCCCCACGGCAGGAGAGAAGGAAGGACAAGTGCCACAGTGGGACCTGAACTCCAAGAGCACCCAGGCCACGATGCTCATGGGTGGAGCTGGGGTTTCCATCCCTTGCACCCTAGAATAATGGGATTCCTGTGGAGCAGACCTGTGTGGAGAGTATGGGCAGAAGCCCAAGGCCAGAGGATGAGGCAAAGAAAGCTCTGGAGCTGCCAAAAGGGCCTAACAGGGAAACCTGTGAGGGATCTGTGAATGTCCCCAGGAAGAAGAGAGATCAGCTCTGGCAATCTGAAGGCCTAGAGAACACCACATTCCTGTGACAACCTTGTCCAACGAGAAGTTTCTTGCACTCTTCCCCCATCTCTGCTCTACACTGTAAGCCCAAAGGGATGGTAACGACAACTATTAAGGGAGGAGTAGAGAAGAGGTCAATTCTACCTTTGCACACTCTCCCTTCCCCAACTGCCACTGCCAAGTTGGTAGCCTGCCATTGCCAGGGAAGAGAAAATTCCTATTCTTGGATAAAGACTGCAGTGTTGATTACCACGGAAACTAAACATGCTATTCAGCAAGTTAATGTAGAACTTATCACCTGGGGTAAGTCATGGGACTGCACAAGTTTTCATCCAAACACAAGGGAAAATTCTTCCACTGTATATACTTTTTTTCTTTCTTTCCTTTTTTTTTTTTTTTTTTTGAGACAGTTTCTTGCTCTGTCATCTAGGCTATATGCAGTGGCATCATCATAGCTCACTGCAATCTCAAACTCTTGGGCTCAAGTGATCCTCCTGCCTCAGCCTCCCCAGTATCTGAGACTACAGGTGCACACTAGCACATCTAGCTAATATTTCTATTTTTAGTAGACAGGGGGTTTCACTCTTGCTCAGGCTGGTCTTAAAGTCCTGGCCTCAAGCAATCCTTCTGCCTCAGCCTCCCAGAGTGCAAGGATTACAGGTGTGAGCCACCGTGCCCAGCCTCTAAACCTTTAAATTTTAATTCATTTAATTTTTACAGTACTCTACAGTGCTAAGCCGAATGCCAGGCTTGAAGTATGTCTTTTTCTTTTTTAAGATAAAATCTCACTCTATTGCCTGGGCTAGAGTGCCGTTGCGCCAGCCTAACTTACAACAACCTAAAACTCCTAGGCTCAAGTAATCCTACTGCCTCCTACTGCCTAGTAATCCTACTGCCCGAGTAGCTGGGACTACAAGCATGTACCCCCATTCCGGGGTAGTTTTTATATGTATACTTTTTAATGTCCAGCTAATTTGTATTTTTTTAGTAGAGACGGGTCTCACTCTTGCTCCGGCTGGTCTCAATCTCCTGAGTTAAAAAGACCTTCCTGCCTCAGCCTCCAAGAGTGCTAGGATTACAGGCATGAGCCACAGTGCCCAACCTTGAAGTAGGTCTTCATCCTGTTAAAATAAGTCCTTGTTGATTGGATTTCTCAGCCCCATGGACACATAGAAGATGGGGAGGGCATGCAGAGCAAGCTGTCCCATTAACTCTATCTTTTCTCCACTGAGGATCTGTTCACCCTGCTTCCTGTTATGGGCCCTTGATTGAGCCCAACGTTTGCTCATGGATCTACCATCTATTATAACTTCTTCCATCCTAGTACTAACCAGGCCTGACTCTGCTTAGCTTTCAAAATCAGACGCATTCCCAGTGGCCCCTCCACAGGCCATAGAGTAATTTCTTTTACACTTGAACCATGCTTGCTCTTCACATCCTGCCCCTCCACCAATCCTCCCTCCCAACTCTGTCCTGAGGCTCTTAGCTAAGCAGATGCCTTTATTTACAGCCAGAGAAGAGGCAAAGGGGAGGGGCTTGTCCAAGATCCAGCCACATGCAGAGTTGAGTCTCTGTCTAATCTAAGGCAGAGGCTCTGTAGCACATCAGGATGGGCGTGGATTAGGCCCTGACAGGCTCGCTTCCCCGACTTGCTTTGATTGAAGGCATGGAGTGTGGCAGTAGGAGGAAGTCCCAGCACCCTGGCTCAGGGGTTCGGAGGCTCAGCGAGCAGCTGAGGCCAGGCCTAGATGAAAGTGAGGTGGGTAGAAGCAGGGACGCCACAGCTTTCCTTGTGCTCCTCAAACAGCTGCTCCAGAGCCTTCATGTAGACGGCGTGATCGTGGTCAACTTCGTCCGTGGTGGGGTGGAGGCGCCGGGGCACAGGGATGGGGCGGCCCACTGCAGACAGAGGGAGACACAGGTGAGCGAGGGGCCCCCGCTGTCCACAGAGCGGTTGGCAGCCCCCCCACAGGTGGCACTCACCCACGGTGGTTATGGGCACAGCAAAGGGCAGCAGCCCCCAGGAGTTGGCCAAGAACAGACTGCGGCCCCAGAAGATAAAAGGTGGAAAACCCAGGAGCTTCTTAAAGAGCATCTGGCACCGAAACTGCCAGGAGTCCTCAGGAAAAGCCTTGATTCGGAAGATATCAGTCTCCCCAAAGGAGTACACGGGCACCAGCGAGGCCCTGGGAAGGGTGGCGAGAGACAAGAGGGGTGCTCAGGCTGCTGGACTGTGCCCCCTAAGGGCATAACGGGGGCTCCAAGTTCCACCCCAGCTCTCATGAGGCCACATCCCAGGGCCTTCAAAGCACATGACTGTGCCTACAAAGAAAGATCTAGAAGAAGATACTCACATTTCTTGGGAAACAATTGTGTAGTTGGCCTTCACATACTCAGTTTCTCATTTAGTTGTTAGGACTATAACACAGTGGCTAGTCTGTATTAGGACTTTTCACAGGTAAAGAGACAAGTCCAAGGTCTTGCCTCTGAGATCAGGTCAGAAAGAGCATGCAGGGCTTCTGAGCCCAAGGACCTGCCATTGGCATGACACCCCTGCCTCTGCCTCGCCGAGGGTGGGAGGGAGCCCGGGGAACGGGGCACAGGGCATGGCTCAGAGCAAGATGCTCCGGACTGCCATGAGCCTCCAGGTCTAGGACACAGTGCTTGGCTCTGAGGACACAGACCCCCGTCCAGGGCCCCAGATGTGTAGGGACTGAGAGGGAGTGTAGACCCACAGAGAGTGGACAGTCCAGGGGAGCTGTGGAGTCACAGCCAGCAGGCCCTCCATGCGCACTCACCCGTGCCTCAGCGCCAGGCGCACAAAGCCTTTGCGTTTCCAGAGCGTGAGGCAGTGCTGCCCTGGGTTCGCATACAGGATCTCGTGGGCACCCCCTATGACAATACCCACAGCCTCCCCATGCTGGGGCTGGGACAGGACAAAGTCAAGGCTCTGGCGGTTCACAGGACGCGCTCCTGTAGGCAGGGGTAGGTGGGAAGCAGTCAGCACCCCCTCCACTGGCCCTTGGCCCCTCACCCTTAGTATAGGACAGGTGAATTCTGAATTCTGTTCCTTCCAAACCTGCACCCAACCCCATGTCAGAGCCCGACAGTGAAGCTACTCACTGATGCCCGCTGCGAGTCTGGGCAATGTTCAGGCCAGGTCCCTGCACTCGGGATGGGACCTGGAGGGATATCCTAGTGTGTGTGTGGAGCCATCTCCCTATTCAGGTAGAGGCTCACCATAGCTCATCATGTAGTCTCGGTAGACTGGGAAGCAGAAGAGGCCACTCAGTCCAGCTTGCCAGGTCTGAATCTCTGGGAAGTGCTTGGAGAAGCCATTGCCCACCGTGGAGAGATTACAGATAACCCCCATGCACATGACATGCACATGTGGGTGACTGCCCACCACGTAGTTCTGGTTGGGGGGCAGCTCTGCTGTTTTCACAGCTTCAGGGTGTTGGGCAGGATGAGCGGGGGAGGCAGAGAAGGGAAGACACCAGCTGAAAAGAGTTGCCCTGCCCCCCAACAGACTTCAGAGTTCAAGGTCCTGGGATGGGATCAATGGTCAGTCCTCTCCTGGAGGCCATCCAGCCCTGGGCCACTGCCCCAGCTTATGTGCTCAGGGTCCGTCCAGCACATGAAGGGGGAGAGCAGTGTGGGAGGTGGGGGAGGGTGGAGGCAGTCAAAGGACCCATCACCTTGATAGGATAATAATCCCTCAGGTCCTTCCACAGTGTGAAATTCCTCATCCAGTCACCACGCCTTCCATCTGCGGGCAAAGACAGAGGGCGCCAGAATCCCTGGAGGTAACTGCCTCCCCCCAGCCACCATTTCTCATTACCTGGGCCCCTGCCCACAGCTCACCTTGGTTAGGTGTTTCTCCGTCCAGGTAGAGCCACACCAGGTAGAGAACAGAGATTGACCAGAGTGAGGTGAACAGGAGGAAGATGAGGAGAAGAGAAAAGAAAGGGCCTGGGTGACAGAAGAGAAAAGAATGAATTTGCTTCTGAAACAGTCATTCTACCCAGCCACTCCCCTCCCTTCCACCCCCACTGGACATCCTGCCATCCCCTCTGGCCCTCTTGGGGTGGTCCCTTGGCCCTCAGGCATCCAGGCCAGCTGCCTGGCTGCCCAGCCTTCCTCCCTCTGGACCCTTCTCCCCTGGCAGACCCAAGGCACCAGGTCTCTCCCCCTCTCACCCATGAAGAAGAAAGTCAATACCAGTTGATAGGCAGCCATCATTTCTCGATACTGCTTCCATGGGCTTTTTGAGGTTACAGAGGGTGGGGAGGCTGCAGATACTTCCATTCCAGTACCTCCCCTCTGCCAGCAGGAGTCCTGAGAGCAGAGGAGGAAGCTGAAGTTCTGGGGGAGAGCCTGGGAAGATTTCTGGCCAGAGAGGGCAGCGCTTGGGGCCTGATAGGGTTGCAGATCACCTGGCAGAATGCTGTGTGGTGGGGTGAGTGTGGGGGGTACATCAGGATCTGGAGCCTGGATATCTCCAGGCTCCTCAGACTGGTCTTTGAACTTCCTCAGTTAGTAAATATGTCTGGGCTGGCCATGGGTGGGACTGGGAGGGGGTGAAGGAATGTTCCTAGGGATACTCCAGGGCGGTGAACAAAACCCAGGTTGCCAGCCTATCCATGGGGTTGCAGGCTCTGGTGGGGCCAGTAGTTCAGCTCAGACTGTTGCATCTGCCATGTGTCCAGTGTAGGCCCAACTGGTTTGCATGTCTCCGGGAGTGACAAATCCACCAGGGAGCTACAGTCTAGGCTGTGTGTCCCCTGGCCTCCCACTGCACCCTGGCCGCCTCTGCCCTGCACAAACCCAGGAACACCTCTGGTTGGTTTCCCTCATTTAATTTCACTCCCCGACCCAAAACCACAGAGGGGCCAGGGTGGGACGCAGCGGCGGCGGTGAGCTCATGTCTGTCCCTGTACTGGGCCTTGTATTCCTTGAACAGCCGTGTGATCCACTCCAAGGAGAGCGAGTGCAGCGCGTCCACCTAGGCCTGGCTGGGCTGCGGGCTTCGCTGCACCGGAATTGGGGCCCCCACTGTGGGCGGAATGTGGCCGGGTCTGGCCTCTGGCCTCTGCTGTGCGCCCGCAGCCGTCAATGGGGACAGAGTTCAAGGGGCGTTGCAGGGCAGGACCCGTGGTGTGCCAGGATGGCAGATGGCGTGGACGGGTGGGCAGAAGGGCAACGGCAGCTCCCGGAGGCCATGGAACAGAGGCAGCGCCATGCTTAGCGGTAGCTGCTGCACTTCTTGCGCCCTTGGCAACCGGGAGCCCAGGTGGGGTCCGGAACTACTGAAATAGCTTGTTCTCTCTGGAGGAGAAGACAGGCAGCAGGGAGGCCCTGTGGGAGCAGGCATGGTTGCCTCCTGGCCAGGGGCGCCACACTCCTCCTCCGCCCTGCCAGTACCTCACCCCTGTTCCAGTGCCAGCTGCATGAACCCCTTCTGATTCCAGATCCGCAAGCTCAGCACTCCAGGCTTTGTCTCCAGTGCCTCCAGGGGCCCTCCCATGGACAGGATGGCCACCTGGCTGCCCCCAGGCAGGAACACCCGATAGGCAGCACTGGACTTGTCAGAGGAGACCAAACCTGGGGAGAGGGCAGGGGCTGGGGGACACAATGCCCGGGTCTTCCAGAGAAGATAGGGATGGGAGGAGGACACTGGTAAGTTAGAGCTGGGCCCAGGAGCCCCCAGACAAGCGGAGGGTGTGGCTGTGGCAGGAGGGGACAGCAGGGGCGACCCACTCCTGCACTTGACATGATATAGTCCAAGAAGAGAGGAAGGTGGGCCAACAGGGCAGCATGAGCAGGAGCGGCCGCACACCCTGGAAGAGGCGGGAGAAGCCTGTGGCTTCTGTGCAGAAGTTGCTGAAGGCCCCAAGCACAGGACCCCGTGAGGGTGGAGGCTGAAGAGGTAGTTCTGGGAGGGATCCAGCTCTGCGATTTCGACCAGCTGGGGAGCAGAGTGCAGGCACCCCAACCCACCCGTGACATTGATGAGGAGCCCGAGTCTATTCTGAAGCCCCAGCGCACAGGGGTGCCCTGTGCCCGACCCCCTCATCGAGATGGAGAAGCAGTCACAGAAATGTCTGCACACCGCCCAGCTGCTGACCCAGGCAGAGTGGTGGCCTCCAGCCCTGGTGTTGGTCCTGTCTCAGAACCAGACCCAGTAGGGGACCACCAAGGTTAAAGCCAAACTTAGGAATGCAAGGAGCAAGGCTGCCAGGACACCTGGGCTGGAAGAAGGGCGTGGGACTGAGAACCCAGGTGTTTAAGCCCGAGCCTCCCCTCACTCCCACCTTCCCTAGTTCCATGGCATGTGGCTCCTTCCATCCCACCTGCTCCCCAGATTTCAGAAGCAGAGGGCCAGGTGTTGGGGCCCACCCGGATCCTCAGGATTGGGGACTCACCAAGCCCCCAAAAGGAGAAGGCACGTTGCAGCACAGCGAGCACTGGCAGAGCCCAGTGGAGGAGGCTGGTGGAGGCAATGATACTGTGTGTGATAGTCACACAGGGGCCACCTTCAGCTTTTATGTAACCCCTCTTTTGGCCCACCCCACTGGCCCTGACCCTTGGCCCTGGCGCCGTCCCCATTCCCACCACCTTTGCTGCCTGCACACTGGAGCCACGGGAGCTGGGGAAGGATGGGTTCATGGCAACCTGAGTCCACAGGGCTAGAACCAATGGGCCCAAACCAGGGGTGTGGCCAGGAGCCTGAGGGAAGGTGTTTGACTTTGTGGAGGTCAGGGCCCTGGGACTCCTGAGGGGCAGGCGAATGGAGGTCTGGGACAGTGGGGGGAGGCCCGAGGGAGCGGGAACACCACGAAGGGCAGCGCTCCCCACACAAGGGAGAACAGCTTGAAAACCCCTCAGTCTGGGGCCTGGCCTCCGAGGTCCAAGCCTGTGGGGCAGCTCAGGCCTCTGAGGGAGGACACTTTGCCAAGAGGAGTTTTCTCCTGTCCCTGCTTAGCAACTGCCGTCCACAGGGTAGGTGACAAAGGCGGTGGGGGATGGATTTCAGTCTGGCCAGAAAGACGCTGCATCCACTCGGACAGGCAGCCCAGCCAGGCACAGGGCGGGCTTCCCAGAGGAGGCTGGCCCTTGAGGCTGGGCGGCAGGGAGGGAGAAGGGGACTCTAGCAGTGGATGGCGAGATGCCTGGGAACAGCTGAGAGATAAATTCAGTGGTCAGTGCGAGGCTGGAGGAGACCAAGGCAGGGCGACAAGACTTAGTACCTCACAAGATCTGCTCTAAGGAGCTCTGTCCTTTTCTTCTCCAGGCCACTTGTCACTCCCACCATCTAGGAAGCTTCCTGAGGATGACACCAGTCATGGGACTACTTTCCGGAGCCTGCCCCACTAGCAGCTTAGGTGGCAGATAGGCACCCTCTTTAGAATACTTGCTTCCAGGGGTACTTCCTTCTTCTAGCCTGTCCCTGAACCCCAGCCCAGGCATGTGCCACCTCCCCCTTCACCCAGGGAAGATTACAGCTATCAAGGGAGAAAGGACCAGTGAGAAGCCTTCAGGGTGGGCAGCGGGTGGAGTTTCATCAGAGCTGGCCTGAGAAGGTCTGGCCTCCTCCTGTTCCCCCAGCTGGGGGAAGGAAGGGGAGGGAAACTTCTAGGTTTCCCGATGTGGGAACTTCCTGCTCCTCACTTTTCCTCTTCTCTCCCCTTTTCAGGGTCCCCTACTTTGGCTGGCAGGAGGGGAGATGAGTTGGTAAGAGGTGAAAGATGACAAATGGACTCCAGATTTAAAAATCCTCCTTTGTTTGAAGTGGGATTGAGGAACCTTAATAATTTATCACACGGGGAACCCCCTAAAACCTGGTGTCCCTGAACTCTTGGGGGCCGAGGGGAGGGCGAGGGCTCCAGGAGCTTCCTCAGAGGGCTGTGTGCTGGGGGCTACAGTGACACATTCAGTCCCAGGCACAGAGAACATACACTCAGGAAGTGAGGAGATGGACACACCCCCTCCCCAAGATTGGGGTCATATGCCCCCATACGAAGGTACAACGGCAGGGAAGGTTTGGCAGTGGTTGAGTGTCAGGGGTCGACCTAGGACACCGTGAGATAGCAAGTACCCAGTGTCGTGGGCAGCCCCTCGTGGTAGTGGGTGAGGCGGCCAGGGTGCAGGAGGCCCCAGCCCTTCCTCGGGGAGGAGACCACGCAGTCATAGCGCAGGAAGCGGCAGCCACAACCCTGGGAAGAGAAGGGGACAAATGGGGTAGGCAGACGTGGGGCCTGGGAGCACAGGTAGGAGGGGGAGGGGCAGCCAGGCAAGGGGGGAGGGCAGGTGTGGGCCGGGATATCTGCAGACAAGGGAAACCCAGAGGAAGGGATTCATGAGGTGACACCCCCCAAATACACCCACCTGGGAAATAGGAAAAGGCTGGGCCACAGGCAGGGAGGCAGCTGAGGGGAGCATGCAAGGGCTCTGGGTAGATGTTGGAGCTCAAGGATAAGAGTGTGTGGAGGGGCAGGCGCACCTCATAGTCTAGGCCCTTACAGTTGAGGGCAACATTGAGAGTGAAGGTAGATGAGTCATGGTGTGGCCGCAGTGCGGGCTGCTCCTGTGGACTATAGCCGACCCTGGCCATAGGACATGAGGGAACCTGAGCTGGCTCACCTGCCCCACAATCTCCTGCCCTTCCAGGGCCTGGCTGTAGTTCTCATGGATGTACTCTTCCTTCCAGTCCTGCAGGGGCGGAGCATGTCAGACATGTGTCCCTTCACTCCCAGCCCAGGCAGTGTTGGGTGGAGGGTGAGGGACCTGCAAGCTCCAAGTGAGGCTTGACTCACAAGGGGGTTGTCGAAGATCTGCCAGAGGTCAGGGTGCAGGTGGTCTGTGTCATACCGGGAGGTGGCCAGGAACCAGCCGAATTCCTGTGGATTGCTGAGGTGGAGGAAGAAGCCCTGGGGTGGGAGGGTGGGAGTGATGCAGGGATCCCCAGTGGCTGCCCCTGGCTCCCAGCACCCGGCCCCCAGGCACTGCACCCAGGCCTGACCGCCACTCACTTTGTCCCGCAGGCTCTACAGGAGGCCATGTCCGGGTCAGAGTCACTGCCTGAGAACACCTCCCTCTGGGGCAGCTCCTCCCGCAGGGTCTCCCCTCGGATCACGTACGCCTGGGACATGTAGGGCACGTTCCACACGCTCCTGGAGGCACCAACGCCAGGTCAGTGAGGTGGGCTGTCCCCAGTTTCTGCCCAGTTCCTCCCAGGAAGTCCTTCCTTCAAGACATCATAGTCCCTGAGCCTCAAGGCCCCCTCACGTCCCGTCAGGCATGACTGGTCACGACCACCCCAAGGCGTGGGACATCTGACCGGTGAGTGGCCTGGATATTGTGAGCAAGGGGTTTCGGGCTGCGTAGGTCCCAGCTCAGCAGGGGTGGGTGAGGGGTGGCTGCCGGCCGGGCAGGACTCACACTCGCTTCCGCTGCACCAGCTCCACGTAGTCCTAGGAGCGTGCCTAGTCCTCATCCCGGCTCAGCGCTGCCCAGAAGTTGGACCAGAGCTTGCCATGGCGGGACAGCATGGGCGCTATCACCTTCCTATGGACACGTGGGCGTGAGGGCCGGGCAGAGGGGAGCACGCCTCAGAGAGTCCCAGGCCCAGGAAGGAGTGGGGCTCCGGGGACTACGGGGGCACCCTGGCTGAGGAGGACAAGCCACTGTTCTCCTTTTGAGGCTACACAGGGTTGCAGGTTGGTGAGGACGACGTCAGCATCCAGGCTGAAGTAGAACTCACACTCGGGGTCTTGCTGACAGGGGACAGGTGGGGACAGAGCAGCAAGGGGAGCGGGAGCCTCTCCCAGTTCCTCTGCTGTGGGGTCTGGGGAGGGCCAGCTTCTCAGAAGGGTTGCAGGTGTCTCGTGGTTGGGGAGGGGAGGGCAGGGGGCCACTGGGAGCACCTTAATGGGACCGCTTCCATGGACCACAGCAGGGAGGGTGTCGTAGGTCACATTCGGGATTCACACAGGATCCGATCAAATTTTAAAACTACTTCATCTGGGGAAGGAAGGCCAGGCTTTAGACTGCCTTTCTCTGGGAGCTGCCAAGCAATAGGTTCTTCCAAATACAGGGTCTCGATTTCTCCAGGGGATAAAAGGACGCCTGTGTCATCAGAACTGGGGCTCTGTGGTGGCAGGAGCCCTCAGCTTCTGACCAGGCTGCTACCCTGGAGAGCTCCACCACCTGCTCCTAACTCCTCTATGTGGTAACAGAGGCAAGGACTGGAGTGAGGCGTCAGCCAGGCTCGGCCCCAGGGACAGGCTGACTGCCACCCTGAGGGATTTACTTCCAAGTTGGAAACCTGATGACAGCAGCTGCCAGGCAGTGGCTGGGTGACCAGCACTTGGTCCCTGCCGCCCCCCTCAGAAGGCCTGCCTGAGAATCCAGTGTGGCATCTCAGCCCCCATCTCAGCCCTGGTGTTGACACTGCGGCCTGAGGCCAGGGGAGACTGGTGGAAGGTGTGTGATGTAGACCTGCCACTGACTCTTTATTCTTCTCCACCTGGGCCCCAGCCCTGTAGACCAGGTCCCACCCAACACAGCTGCCTGACAAGGAGGGGCTAGGAAACAGATGACGGGGGAATATGGGGACCAGAGGAATGTCACCCTCAGCTGGGCTGGGGTCTGAGCATGCACACAGAGGAGGCTTGGGGAGGCTCAGGGAGGTGGGGGAGGCAGGGCTCCCGACACCTGGTGCCTCTTTCCAAGCTAGGCTGGCTTCCTGGAGAGGATGGCATTCTCAGAAGAAGCCTGACAGTGTGGGGACAGGCCACAGACAACCCTGTCACAGTGCACAGAAAGGATGCCAAGCTGGCATGACCAACAGGGAAGTAGAGCTCATCCATGGAAGTGCACCTTGGTGGGAGGTGGCCTGGGGGAGCCATTCCTGTGATCCCTGGGTGTCATTCCCAACGCCCTCTGCCCAGGTCAGTCTTTCCACCCTCAGCAGTCACAGAGCCCATTTTCCCGGCCACATCACATTCCCGCTTCCCACACTGGGGACAGAGACTGATCTTCACCTGTCTGCTGCCTGCCCTGGCCTCTACCCACACCTCAGTGCTCTTTCTACTTCAAGGATGACTCCTCCTTCTCTTTCTTACTCTCTCAACTCTGACCATACCTGGCCCTTTCCTCATAAACTTACCTAACAGGATTCCGAGAGACCAGAGCAGTTTTGACCTATTTTGAGCATTTTTCTGCCTCCTGGGCCAAGCTGGGTTCCTCCAGGGAATAATCTGCCTTCTAGTGCCCTCTCCCACCTTAGGCCAAGCCCTCCCCACACTCCTCACCCATCACTTGGGTTTCACACAGAGGCCTGATGGGGGATGAAACCCCAACCAGCCTCCCCCAGTCCCATGCCAAGGCCCCATTACTCAGGGAGAAGAGGAGGGACAGGGCGCTGAAGGAAGGTCCCCAGGATCTAATCCCCACAGCCCCCAGCCCTGGTGTCCAGTTCTCACTTGAAGTTGGTGCCCGTGCCCCTTAGGGAAAGAACCCAGAGTAAAACACTGGAGATGCCAACACTGAAGTTTGCACCAAGCGGAGGTACGGAGGTGCAATAAATAGGCCTTGCGTCTCAAAGGCGGCCAGAGCAGATCACATGCAACACATTGAAGGCAAATGGTTGAGAAGTGACTCTCGAGCCCTCACCCATCACAAGGATCAGAGTTTGGAGATGGAGGAAAGATGATGTGGGGAAAGGCTTTCAGAGTGCTGTCAGCACCACCCGCAAAGAGCAAGTCTTCCTACAACAGGATTAGTGAAAAGAGTTTGGTACATCCCCGGTGTTTGGGGAAGGTGCCCACCAGAGAAATCTAGCAGCCGAATGTGGCTGTCTGGATGCCCTCACGGCAGGAGAGAAGGAAGGACAAGTGCCACAGTGGGACCTGAACTCCAAGAGCACCCAGGCCACGATGCTCATGGCTGGAGCTGGGTTTTCCATCCCTCCCACACTAAAATAATGGGATTCCTGCAGAGCAGACCCGTGTGGAGAGCATGAACAGAAGCCCAAGGCCAGAGGATGAGGCGGAGAAAGCTCAGCAGCTGCCAAAAGGGCCTAACAGGGAAACCTGTGAGGGATCTGTGAATGTCTCCAGGAAGAAGAGAGATCAACTTTGGTAATCCGAAGGCCCAGAGAACACCATGTTCCTGTGACAGCCGTGTCAATCTAGAGGTTTCTGGCACTCTTCCCCCATCTCTGCCCTACACTCTAAGTCAGGGCTGGTAACAGCAGCTATTATGGGAGGAGTAGGGAAGAGGTCAGTCCTACCTTTCACACTCTACCTTCCCCAACCACCACTCCTGCGCCAAGTAGGTAGCCTGGCCTTACCAGCAAAGAGAAAATTCCTACCCTTGGATAAAGACTGTAGCGTTGATTACCACAGGAACTAAACATGCTATGCACCAAGTTAATGTAGAACTTATTATCTGAGGTTAGTCATGGGAGTGCCCAGGTTTTCATGCAAGGACAAGGAAAAATTCTTCCACTGAATATATTTTTTTCTTTCTTTCCTTTTATTTTTATTTATTTATTGAGACAAGGTCTTACTCTGTCATCCAGGCTAGATGCAGTGGCATCATCATAGCTCACTCCAACCTGAAACTCCTGGGCTCAAGTGATCTTCCTGCCTCAGGACCCAGTATCTGGGACTACAGATGCACATTAGCACATCTAGCTAATTTATCTATTTTTAGTAGACAGGGGGTTTCACTCTTGCTCAGGCTGGTGTCAAACTCCTGGTCTCAAGCAATCCTTCTGCTTCAGCCTCCCAGAGTGCTAGTATTACAGGTGTGAGCCACTGTGCCCAGCCTCTAACCTTTAAATTTTAATTCATTTAGTCTTTACAAGAGTCCACAGTGCTGAGCTGAATTCCAGGCTTGAAGTATGTCTTTTTATTTTTATTTTTTAAACAGAATGTCACTATATTGCCTGGGCTAGAGTGCCGTGGCATCAGCCTAGCTCACCGCAACCACAAACTCCTGGGCTTAAGGCATCCTATTGCCTCAGCCATCAGAGCTATCTTGAAGGATAACAGCTATGTGCCACCAATGTACCTCGCATAATCTCTTACCTATTATTGATATATAACTATACTAATAAATTATATATATATATAATATAGTCTGCTTCAGCTAAGTTTCTTCTCTATTTTTTTTAGTAGAAATAGGTCTCACTCTTGGTCAGGCTGGTCTCAATCTCCTGAGCTCAAAAGATTCTTCTGTCTTGGTTTTCCAGAGTGCTAGGATTACAGGCATGAGCCACTAAGCTCAGCCTTGAAGTATGTCTTAATCCTGTTAAAATAAGTCTTGATTGGATTTCTTGGCCCCATGGACACATAGAAGATGGGGAGGGTGAGCAGAGCAAGCTGTGTCCTTAACTGTATCTTTTCTCCACTGTCCTCCCTCCTGTTATGGGCCCTTGACTGAGCCCAGCTTTTGCTCACTGATCCATCATCTACTCTAACTTCTCCCATCCAAGTACTAACCAGGCCCGACCCTGCTTCGCTTCTGAGATCAGGCCTGTTCAGGGTGGTGTGGCCATAGACTAACTTCTTTTACACCTGAACTATGCTTGCTCTTCACAGCCTGCCCCTCCACCAATCCTCCCTCCAAATTGTGGACTGATGCCCAACAGCTCTTAGCTAAGCAGATGCCTTTATTTACATCCAGAGAAGAGGCAAAGGGGAGGGGCTTGTCCAAGATCGAGCAACATGCAGAGTTGAGTCTCTGTCCAATCTCAGGCAGAGGCTCTGTGGCACATCAGGATGGGCGTGGATCAGGCCCTGACAGGCTCGCTTCCCCAACTTGCTTTGATTGGAGGCATGGAGTGTGGCAGTCGGATGAGGTCCCAGAACCCTGGGTCAGGGTCTTGGGGGCTCAGCGAGCAGCTGAGGCCAGGCCTAGATGAAAGTGAGGTGGGTAGAAGCAGGGACGCCACAGCTTTCCTTGTGCTCCTCAAACAGCTGCTCCAGAGCCTTCATGTAGACGGCGTGATAGTGGTCAACTTCGTCCGTGGTGGGGTGGAGGCGCCGGGGCACAGGGATGGGGCGGCCCACTGCAGACAGAGGGAGACACAGGTGAGCGAGGGGTCCCCGCTGTCCACAGAGCGGTTGGCAGCCCCCCCACGGGTGGCACTCACCCACGGTGGTTATGGGCACAGCAAAGGGCAGCAGCCCCCAGGAGTTGGCCAAGAACAGACTGCGGCCCCAGAAGATGAAAGGTGGAAAACCCAGGAGCTTCTTAAAGAGCATCTGGCACCGAAACTGCCAGGAGTCCTCAGGAAAAGCCTTGATTCGGAAGATATCAGTCTCCCCAAAGGAGTACACGGGCACCAGCGAGGCCCTGGGAAGGGTGGCGAGAGAGAAGAGGGGTGCTCAGGCTGCTGGACTGTGCCCCAAGAACGCCATGGGCTGCAAGTCCCTCCCCAGCCCTCATGAGGCCATTTCCCAGGGCCTTTCAAAGCACATGACTGCGCCTACAAAGAAAGATCTAGAACAGGGGTCCTCAAAGTTTTTAAACAGGGGGCCAGTTCTCTGTCCCTCAGACTGTTGGAGATTGTGCACTGTCAGCCCAGGACGAGTTGGCTGTTAAGCTGGAAAGGCAGTTGTGACAAAAACACCTCGAGGGCCGGATAAATGTGCTAGGCGGCCCCTATGTGGCCCGTGGGCTGTATTTTGAGGATGCCTGAACTAAAAGGAGAGACTCACATTTCTTGAGAAATGATTGTGTAGCTGGCCTTCACACACTCACTTTCTCAGTCAGTTGTTATAACTACAACATGGTGGCTAGTCCATATTACCCCTCTTCACAGGTAGAGACAAGTCCAAGGTCTTGCCTCTGAGATCAGGTCAGAATGAGCATGCAGGGCTTTGAGCCCAAGAACCTGCCATTGGCTTGACGCCCCTGCCTCTGCATTGCTCGAGGTGGGAGGGAGCCCAGGGAACGGGGCACAGGGCTTGGCTCAGAGCAAGATGCTCCAGACCGCCATGAGCCTCCAGGTCTAGGACACAGTGCTTGGCTCTGGGGACACAGTCCCCTCTCCAGGGCCCCAGATGTGTAGGGACTGAGAGAGTGTAGACCCACAGAGAGTGGACAGTCCAGGGGAGCTGTGGAGTCACAGCCAGCAGGCCCTCCATGCGCACTCACCCGTGCCTCAGCGCCAGGTGCACAAAGCCTTTGCGTTTCCGGAGCGTGAGGCAGTGCTGCCCTGGGCTCGCAAACATGATCTCCTGGGCACCCCCTATTATAATGACCACGGCCTCCCCACGCTGGGGCTGGGACAGGACAAAGTCCAGGCTCTGGCGGTTCACAGGACGCGCTCCTGTGGACAGGGGTAGGTGGGAAGCAGTCAGCAGCCCCTCCACAGGCCCTTGGCCCCTCACCCTTAGTATAGGACAGGTGAACACTGAATTCTGTTTCTCCAAACTTCCACCCAATCCCCATGTCAGATCCCGACAGTGAAGCCCCTCACTGATGCCCGCTGCGAGTCTGGCCCACGTTCAGGCCATTCCCTGTACTGGGGAGGGAGGAGGCAGGGGGTGACCCAGTGTGTGGGGAGCAATCGCCCAACTCAGCTAGAAGCTCACCATAGCTCATGATGTAGTCTCGGTAGACTGGGAGGCAGAAGAGGCCACTCAGTCCAGTTTGCCAGATCCGAATCCCTGGGAAGTGCTTGGAGAAGCCATTGCCTTCCATGGAGAGATTACAGACAGCCCCCATGCACATGACCCCATGTGGGTGACTGCCCACCACGTAGTTCTGGTTGGGGGGCAGCTCTGCTGTTTTCACCAGCTTCAGGGTGTTGGGGAGGATGAGCAGGGAGGCAGAGAAGGGAAGACACCAGCTGAAAAGAGTTGCCCTGCCCCCCTACAGACTTCAGGGTTCAAGGTCCTAGGATGGGATCAATGGCTACTCCTCTCTTGGATGCCATACAGCTGGGCCACTGCCTCAGCTTACATGCTCAGGCTCCATCTAGCACATAGAAGGGGAGTGTGGGAGGTAGGACAGGGCAGAGACAGTTAAAGGACCCATTACCTTGATAGGATAATAATCCCTCATGTCCTTCCACACTGTCAAATTCCTCATCCAGTCACGACGCCTTCCACCTGCGGGCAAAGACAGAGGGCGCCAGAATCCCTGGAGGTAACAACCTCCTCCCAGCGGCTATTTCTCATTACCTGGGCCCTTGTCCACAGCTCACCTTGGTTAGGTGTGTCCCAGTCCAGGTAGAGCCACACCAGGTAGAGAACAGAGATTGACCAGA